TCTCTCATACTTCAGATATATTGTCAGGAGGGACCAGTCACTGGAAAAGGATATTATGTTTGGTCAGAGAAAAAGAGTAAGATCACCAATGAGATGGATTGGCAAAGTGGCAGCATGGATGGACTCAAGCGTGGCAACAGTAGTGAGGTTGGCCCAAAATCGGGCAGTGTTTCGTTCTGCTGTGCATAGGGTCACTATGGGTCGGTACAGACTTAATGGCACCTAACAACAACAACGCTCCTCAAATTCATCCCCTCCAAAGCTAGATTATTTCTTGGAATTGCAGTAAGGAACCCATATTCCCCAGAGGTTTCATTGCCCCTCACACATTCCACATGGGAAATCCTATCAGACCCTCTCTCGTTTATCATTCCCTCCTCCTCATCCTCCTGTCTTACCTAGATTTAAAGTATACCACCTAACATGACTAGGACACAAACCCAGGTTGGAATGGCAGAAAGACCTGTATGTTTGATCACTAGGCAGAACTACCTGTCTTCAAGCATAATGCTGTTTGACATAGTTGTAATGCATTGTCTGGTGTGGTGTGGAGTCTGGGTGTGGCACTGTGGGTTAATGCGCTGGACTGCAAAGTCGATTTGAACTGCAAGGTTGGTGGTTCAAGCTTACCAGCCAGTCCTTGGAAACCCTATACAGGGTCACTATGGGTCGCAACTGAATCAACGGCACTTAACAACAATGCAACAAACCTCAAAATAACTGAGAGATAGAGACAATTACATTCTTCATTTCACTAAAGAGGAAGAGAAAGCTTTACAGGGGTTAAGGTCACAAATTCATCACTGCCCCAGGTCTTCCTTCTTCTCTCCTCTTCCCATCTAACTTGTGTGCCTCTGCAGGTTTATGTGTTTAAACTACAGACTTTTGTTATTCGTTACAAAGCCCTCCCACCACCACCACCACTGACCCCAAGATTGGGTTCCTATCTCTTCTGTGTGGCAGAATTCACAATCTGGACCCCTCCAACTTCCTGGTTTCCCAATGCCTTCTATTATCTATACCCACCACCCTCCAGCATACCAACCCCATTAAGTCTCTTAAATGTCCCAGATTAGCCCAGAATACTCTCCCTTTCCAGACTCCAACATGGCTAACGTATCATTCAATGAACACTTTAGATGCTTCTTCCTTTTTTCTAGTCTCCCAGTCAGCTGACTGCCCACTCTCCTAAGTCTCCACTTGGGGCATCCCTTTGTAGCATGACCCACTGTAATCATTGTATTCCATATCTTCTCCATCTTTGTGCCTGGTGCACAGTGAAGAGGTTGACTGAGTGGCAGCAAGTGTCACATTTTCACTGGTCGCTCTTGCTCTCAGAGGGGTGGGGGTTTCTAAAAAATTAGTAGTACCGAGTTCTGCTTCTCAGTCACACCCAAAAGTAAGCATTCACTTACAAGCTCTTTATTGCTAAACGAAAATACACTTCAGAGAGAGAAGCTGGTCTTTTTCCATGAGTGGAGAAGGCCCTTTGGGATTGGGGTGCACATGCTTATAAAGATATGGGGTCTCTTTCTGTAAGAGTGGGCTAATACATATTGATTAGGAGGAGTAGAATGTTGAATATTCATCTTTTTTTAGTAAAAAGGCTCAGGCTTTTTGGAAAGGGAGTGCCTTCTGCAGTTGTCAGCTTTTAGGCTTTATCATCATGGGTTGTCTGCTTATGGCCAGCTGTTTCTATTAGGGTTTCAGGTCCTGATATCCTTATCTTTGTCCCCAGGCTCTTCTTCTCTGGGTTACTATTCCTGTTGGACTAGAGATATCCTTCCCCCTTTCTTGATCCCTTTCTGGTAGGAGAGGACTCAAGGCAAAGGGTGGATATGAAGCCAGGGTAAGAGAGGCCTAAGGCCCAGAGGTCCTAAACTTTCCCTGATATTTCCCCCATGAAGAGAGAGGTACCTCAAAATATTTTGGGAACCATT